GATACAACTAAAAGGGTCATCTGGAGAAGTGATGAATCCTTCAATACACTGGCAAATGATATTACAGTTCACGCCACCGTCACATTCTTCAGTTCGAATATACTTTCCATTTGATTCATAGTACTTGTCTATTTTACCATTGCCGCATTTACCACTAACACATACACCACCATAACTCGAATAATTCATTTTGTCATCACAATGACATCCACCATCACAACCTTCGGTGTCTAATTTGCATTCATCGCCATAACCCAAGTCACCATTTCGACATTCAGCTGTAACGCACATGTGATTATTTACACTTTTTCCATTTGTGCATTGACAGTATTGGTCACAGTCTTTGGATCCAAAGTAACACAAATTTGATTCAGCTGGAATTTGCCATATATTATTGTAATAACACAACAAATGGCAATCATCTCCACCATACCCATTTTTACAAACACATTCACCCAATTCGGTGTCACATCTTCCAAATCCTTTTTCGGCATTACAGTCATTGGGACAAATAATTGAAAGTGTCATTTTAATTTCAACTCTGTAATTTTCAGATAAAAAAGATAAATAATGTCTATCTGTTGTGTTATCTAACCTTACATGAATTCCATTGCCTTGATGAGTATTACCATCGTCTTCTCTTGATAGTTCTATGTCTAGTTTTTTGCCAACAGAATATTTCTTACATGATCTTTCAAGTACATTGCCATCATCGGCATATTCCATGTACAATTGATTTAGGTAAACAACTCTATTTGCTGCTCTTGTGTCAATAAATACATAGCCTCGACCTTTGTATTCTAATGTAAAAAGCATTGCTTTCATGAAAACACTGGGCATACATGCTGAATATGCGTAATACCCTATTTGTTCAAATGGTATTACAAGGGTTGTTTTCTTAGTCAAATCCATAGATAATTCATTGAAAAAATCTTGTTTGATATTGAAATTTTCGATGATTTGAAGGTTGTCATCTTCTTTAAAAGTAAGTGAACAAGACAATTTATTTGTATGACCTCTGATGTTTGCGAAGAAGTAATAATAGATAGTTTGGTTCAAATCTGTACCTTCTCTGATTACAAATGGAAACCTTCCAATTGTATTATAATTTGTTTTATTTGAGAAAAAATGAATAAAACAGAATGGGTTTGGAGCATAATATTGTGAATTGGTACCATCTACAAATAAATCAACTTGTTCATCAGTACTGTCAGTTTTATTGATTTCAATTGATATGTGATCTTTTTGAATTTTAGTAACATCCATTTTGAACCATTTCCCTTGTCTGTATTTCTGTCTGTAATAACAAAAAGAAAAATCGACATAACTATTACTATCAAGTGTTAATTCTTTTGTTTTTCCAATGTAAATTTCTTCTATGTGTTCTTCTGCGGGCAACCAATCAGAAAGTTCATTTTTCTCTACCTTTTGAGCAAATTTTACACATTTTAAATCATCATTTTGTAAGTAAACTGGAGAACTGTAATCATATTGATTCGTCCTTTCACAGTGGTCACAGGTATTATCATCATCGTATCCTTCTTTGCATTCATAAGCACATGTGTAATTTGCACTACACCCATTGATACACCCAGGAGAACATAACACTTCAGTTTTTACAATAACTAAAAATAAAGCAATTGTTAATATCAAGAGTTGTCTTATTGCCATTCTGAATGAGATTACTTTTTAAAGTTTGAAATTTAAATGGTAAAAAATACAAAACCAAATATTTTTTGTATAATAAATCAATGTTAATATCACAATAATTTTCAAAAATTTAAACTGTTTTATCCAAATTATTATTTTCACAACAGTCTTTAAAACAATTTATTAAGGTTAATTTTTCCAATAATTTGTTCAATAAATAAAAAAATTTACAACAAATAAATTTAATCATAAATAATAATTTTATTTTGTTTTTAATTATTTTATTCGATATGGTAACAAATCGTATTAAAACAGTATGTCCAATTTTTTTATTACAAGTAATAAAAATTAATTGATCAACAAAATGTATGAAACCGATAAACATCAATTTTATTATTTTAAGTTGACATTAAATTAAAATGTAATTGGTGATTTGAACACTCAACTTGAAAAGGTTTATACATGTTTTAATCAGATATTAATGAATATAATATCCACTTTTAATTTAATAATAAATGGGGTTTTAAATAAAAACAATAATATAATTCAAATTATCATTTTTAGTTATAATTATTTAATATCATATGTTTGAAATATTAATTCGC